AGTTGAAGCCAGACCTGGGGGCCGGCCCGTGGTGGGGGAGTGGGGGCTGCCGTGCCCTTGGCAGTGCTGGACCCTGCTGGGCTCAGCGCCAACAGCAGCGGCTGGGGCAGGGCCTGGGTTCTTGGATCCCCAGCTTCTTGGCAACCTGCGTGACTCAGTGGGCTGGTAAAAGGGGCCGGCGGGCAGGCGGCCAGTGCAGGGGAGCCCTGTGGTGGGTGAATCAGCCGACCACAGGGTTACTGGTTCTGCCTGAGGTGGGGCCAAACCCCAGCTGCCAAAATAAGCTTTCTCCCCCTGCTCCCCGGGCAACCCACCTTCCACACTCCTCGGCAGGTGCGTCCTGTGGCTCTGCTATTCCTAGGGGGTCCCCAAGTCTTCCCAGCCTGGAGCAGGGAAACTTGGGGTGGGTAGCTTTGCACAAGTCACTCTGAGGCACTGCCTCTCTACACCCAACATTGGCCCTCCTGTAAATCAGAGGCCACTGAAACACTTGCCCTGGTCTCCGTGGAACACCGTAAGGGGCAAATTACCCTCCACCCTTGGTGAAAAGCTGGAGTTTGCAGGAAGAAGCAGCTGAGGGCACCAGCCTCAAAGGCAGTGGAGTTGGAAGCCCTGCTCTGCTGTGTGGGTGAGTTTTGTGCCATCTCTGACCCTCTGTCCTCAAGCTCATCTATAAAATCTGCCTCACACATCATGGTAGTAGCTAAATGATATCCACCTGGGCACGGCCGCTTATAGCAGAAATCTCGAGGGACTGTTGACTTCAGTTTAAGCACCAGGTTGGGGGCAGCTGTGATCAGGGGAAATGGAAGCCAGAATTCCCAGAAGCCTCGAGTCTGCCTGGGCTGCCAGAAACAAACCTACTAAGCAAGCAGCCCTGGGTGCCAAACAGGCCTGGGCATCCACTGAGCCGTGGCACTGACGTGCTGTGTGACCTCAGGCAAGTTGTTTGGCCTCTCTGGTTCTTGATTTTCTCAGATTTTTTTTTTCTTAAGTCCAAGTCTCACTCTGTTACCCAGATTGGAGTGTAGTGGCATGACCACGTCTTACCGCAACCTCGAGCTCCTGGACTCAGGTGATCCTCTCACCTCAGCCTCCAGAGTAGCTGGGACTACAGGCGCAACCACCATGCCTGGCTAATTTCTTAATATTTTTGTAGAGATGAGCTCTCACTATGTTACCCAGGCTGGTCTCGAACTCCTAGGCTCAAGCGATCCTCCCGGCCTGGCCTCCGAAAGTGTTGGGATTGCAAGAGTGAGTCACTGCGCCTGAGCATTCTTCTGTTTTGCAGCAGAGATAATGACCATGGCTTCATCTGTCTGGTAGATTCTGGGTGGAAAAGTGCTTCGTTCCCCCCTGAGGGAGCTAAAGGCTGGGCCAGGCAGAGCTCTGGGGGACGAAGAGGCATCAGGAGTGGCTTCCTCCTCCAAGGCTTCTGCATGTGGGCAAGCATTTTCCCCTGGGCCGCAGTATGGAAGGGATCTGTGGTGCCCCAGTCCTTGGGAGTCTCCTAGTCAGAGTCAGAGAGGGAGGAGATGCCAGGGGGCACCCCACACCCAGACTCGAGCCCTCTTCCAGGCTGTCTTGCACATGGCTGCAGCACCATCCCCACCTAGCAGAGCCGGCCTGGCAAGGAGTGTGTGGTGAGTGACTTGATGATAGGCCTCAGCTTCTCAGAAACAAGGGGAGAAGGAGGCTGTCCTCCCAGCAGGACACAAGTCAGCTCAGCAGCAGGAAAGAGGAGCAGAAGCTGGGCGTGGCCTCTCCTATCTGCTTCCTGGACAGGATGTTGTACAGAATAAACAGCTTTGAGAGGAGTCACTGCTCTGGCTCTGAGTCACAGCGCCTAGTGACAGCCACACGGTGTTTATAAACAATGAGCCTCCCACCCAGCAATGGCCTGCCACCACCTTGAAAGCAGAAGACAATCCCCCCAGATGTGGGATGCAGCAGGCCCCTGGCATCCCCTCCCCCACAGGGGCTTGCGGCTGGGCTTGGGAGTGTGGGGCACACCTGTCTGTGCACATGTGCTCGTGAGTCGGCTTTTGCTAGTCTGGGCTCGTGTGTGGCTGGCCCAGCACGTCATCCCAGGGCTGCCTGACGTGGTGGGCAGAATGTTGTGGGACCATGGGGTCAGGGCTGCGTGAGCGTCACACACAGTAGGTGCGTGGGAAATGGCTGTGCTGTCTCTGGTCCTCAGCAGCCGATCCCTAAAGGCGGCCAGAGTGGGGGGCGGGGGCTGCAGGTGGAGCTTTCCTAACTGCCCTGGCGCTCTGTGACTGGTCTCCGTTCCAGGCAGTGACAGTGATGTGGCACATCATGTGGCAGCCTGGCCAGCAGGGAACAAAGGCCCTGCTCTCCCCGGGCTGTCGGGCGGAGGCAGAACTCAGGGACCACGTGGACAGGAGGAGGGGTGGGTGCTGTGCTCCTCCCCTCCCGCCGGCCCCACCTTCTAGGGCTCCCGCATTTCTGAGCGCGTTTCTGAGCAGCTGCTGGTGCCGCTCCTGCAGCCTGGCTATGACTCACTCCCTCAGTGGTTTTTCCAGAGAGCTCGGTGTCCTGCTGCCCGGAGCAGCCCTGCCTGGCTTAGCTAGGATTGAGCCCTGAGACCCCAGGGTTGGGCCCTGAGGCCAGGCTGACCAGTGCTGGAGGCTGAGCTAGGCTGGGGCTCACAGGCTTGAGAAGTGGGCTGGGGTGGGGGCATTTGAGAACCCACAGGAAGAGGGCGTGTGAGATGCTTTTCCCTGAGCAGGGCCTGATACCAAGGAGCCGCTCCACGAATGCTTGTCTAGTCAGAGCCATCAGCACACACTAGCAGGGCAGCCTGGTTCCCTGTTGGTTCCCTACCCTCTCTGCTCAAGGTAGTTGAGCGCTTACCCCTAAGACCTCTTTAAACCCCTCCACCCACCCAAAGTTCCTTATACATTGTAAGGAACGCTTTCTCACCCATGGATCCCTTCCGCAGGGCTGGGCTGAGAAGTCACACTTTGCAGGAGGAAACCAAGGCTCAGGGAAGGCCCTCCCTGCCTCCCCCACTTTGTCTGGTGAACTCTGTTAATTCTGCCGCGGCAGTCAAAGTGTACCAAGCGATGCCTGCAGTCACATGGCTGGGCAGTTAGCAATGCAGGGATGAGAGGTGGAGGGTGGGGATAGTCCAGGCACCCCCGGGCTGTCTCCCTGCCTGGATGCCCACCAATGCATGCCACCTGCCTCACCTGGATCCTGCCCATCTGCACAGGGCTTCTCTCCCCACAAGGCTGAGTCCCCAGGTAGCGGGGCCAATGCCTGCCACACCCCCTGCTGCCTCTCTGTCCCAGGACCAGGACTAGGGCTGCCTTGCAGCATGCTTCATGTGTTTGCTCTTAAATCAGCAAACATTTCCAAGTTATCTACTGGGATCCCATTACAAACCACATTCCAAGCACTGGGCAGACCCCGACTGCCATCTGCACCTTGCTTCTGAGTATAGAGCCAGGCTATGGTGCCCTTGGCACAGGGGCAGTGTCCATCAACATTTTTTAAAAAATTTTAGCCGGTCTCGGTGGCTCAGCCTGTAATCCCACGCCTTGGGAGGCTGAGGTGAGTGGATT